TTCGGATGGTTAAAGTTCCTTAAAATCTTGAAAGCAACCCCGAAAAAAACAGCGACCGGGGCAGCACAAGTGCAGCAAACGACAATTGTTATGCGCAGTATCGTTGCGCAGTAGTTTCAGTGACGTCATCTATGTGATATACCCATGTAATATCCACTTGGTGGGCAACATACCATGTAATATTGATTTTTATTCAATGTCATGTGACCGAGTCTCAACCAATCACAGCATGCGTAACAGCAGTGAGATGTGATAAACAAAAATACAATGTTATTATCTTGTTTTATCACAATAATTCGAGCAACATAGTTTGGACATTTGTTCCCACTGCAACGTTGAATTACTAGTATTATGATTTTACTCTCAGTAAACCTTGTACTTTACCGCCTTTCTGAGTTCCAAAAAAGAGGAATTTGACAACATTGAGATGGAGAAAATGTATCCAGAGCTTAATACTGTCAACCATTTTTTTTTTACAAAATGGTAGTGATTATGAAAAACTGTTCCAAAAGGTCAGCTGTACTGACAATGAACAGAATAAAATAAAATATACTGTATAATACAGTTATTATCTAACCACATAACGAGGCAGTGTACTCAATACATCACATATATTTAACTTATCTATACAATTAATGCCCATTATTTATTTATTAATTAATTTATCAGTTTATATTTGTTTTTAGGGTGGGAATGCTCACATGTAGTCAGATTCTGCTCACGCGACTATAACAGCCCTACATTTTTGCTCAAATGTTTAAACCATAAATACACCATCATGTGATTTTCTTTTTGATATGTACTATTTTATGACACACAGTTAAAGGTAAATTATTCCCGACAATATTTCTAACGGGATTATTGCAAGAGCCCCGTATTTTAGCCCGTTATCCAATATTGGTCACAATGTTTGTTTTAAATGTTCTCTTTAATTTCATTTCTATACTTTGTTCTGAAAACAAAATTTGTACAGTGAAATTTAACTATTTAAAACTACATTTTTTTTAAAATACTAATATTACTAGCTGACTTGATGTATGGTCTCTGAGCTAACTCCATAGATTGGGGACATTGGTGAGAGACAACATTTAAATAACAGGGCCGTTTGACTTTCACTCCGGATTATTCAAATTCCATACACGTTTTCCTGACATGATTACCATTGTTGATAATTCCCCCGAATAAAAAAAATAGTAACATTTTTGTTGATTTTGTACATACAGAAGCACCCTTGAGGTAACGAGAAGGGTTTTCGAATAAAACATTCTCTGTATGTTGTCTCGTTCAGAACAGTAATTTAGCTTATATATTTCAAAAGACTAAGTATAGAGGTACAAAGTTCGCACAAACTGGACAGTCATTGTTTACATAATTATCATGCGACATAAAAAAATGGCGAACCTTGTAAAAAATGACTAAGTCCGCGATTGCGACTGCGGAATTTTTTGGTGAAATTTACGTCATGCATTGTCCGTAATCAAGTCCATTGAAATGTGTCCACGGAAATCAAAAGACCTATTATTCCGATTTCTGTGCAGGTTTGTTTTTTTTGTCCCCAAATTATTTCATACTTGTGGTATTCTGGGGTGGACCCGTAGCAAAAGCACGCACATACACAGCACAATGACAAGACACAAACACGACCAAGGCTTTTTGAATACTGACAACGGTTTATTGAATTACATTTCATTTATAACAGCGCATGCCAGATGTATTGGCATACCAGGTGTACATTAATTAGCATATCAATAGTGTGTACAAATCACTACAATACTTGGCACCTTTAACAGACTATTATTCTGTGATAAAGCATTTTCTTTAAAAACCCAGACATATTTCGCACCATCATTATCTTTTGAACGATAACTGCGAGTTTGAATGTCCTAGTCCGAA